CTTAAAAGGCATAGATGTGGTACAGAAAAGGGATCTTGGTTCCTAGTCCATACCTATTATGATCTTCTGTGTAAAGGTAGAGAAGTTCACTTACAGCTTTCTTCTCCCACATTCCTGCAAGACCATGAGCCTTTCAAGACATGCACTGTATCACGGCATGCATTCACAGAACTCCTATTGCAACAAACCCTGTATGCATGGATATAAACCATCCAGCAATAATAAGCACACCTGAGTAGTATCTGCCTAAAACTTAATGCCAGCATTGAACACAGACAGCAGCATTCTGGTACCCTGCAGTTGATCCCTCGTAAGAGTAGACAAAAATTAGTTTTTCAATCCTCATGCAGCTGAAACTCTTAATGAATACAAGAGTGGACAAGAAACATGTATGTTTAATGAGCTAATTGGCAAAGTGGCTATAAAGGATCCTTTATAAAGGAAAGCAGGCCTTAAAAGTAATGGTTTTGTGGGTATAATTATATAGGATTGTGCTAGGGTGTGAAGACAATAAAACACAGGCCTCAGTGCAAATGTGACTGAGGCTTTGCACAGTGATATGAGTATTTATCCATTCCTAGGTAAAACAGACTCCAAGAAACCACAAGTGCTTTTCTCACATATTTAAAGTTAATTCAGTATTTTGCTGAATTGAGGCTACAGCCCTCAGCATCTTGGAAGTTTCAAACTGTGCACAGGAATAGAAATAATCACCCCTTATCTAAGTATTGCCATCCAATAAAAAAAAATAATTAAATTCTAGCCACAGTGATTTCCCTCTCTCCCTCCCCATGTAATTTCAGAGTCCTCATCTGTTCATCTAATGTAACAGTTTTAAATTTGGCATGTGATCCAATGGACAAATCATTCGGAGACATGACTACAGTCAGCATTGTTCATTCCTCCCAGCATCAAAAGCCCTAAGCAGTGAATGGTGCTGATTAGTCACAGCTGAAGACTTTAGAACCTCAATATGTTAGTTTAGTATTAATTTTCACCTCACTGGAACAGTGGAAACATCCAGGAGAGGGAAGAATAGTTAAAGCATGTTTTCAGGGTTATTTCCAATAAATTAAACTGAGCCAAGTAGGAAAGAGTCTGTGCAGTCCACCACAATATGGAGAAGGGAAGCAGAAGATGGTCTTCCTGTTTTCCCTCACCAGCCCAGGTGAGGCACATGGCCCCAGGCAGATTTTGTGCTCTTCACACTGAATACAAGCACCAAGGTCACCATTCTGGAAAATCTATTAAAGCAATGCTTCCCCCTGAAGCTGTCTAAATTTCACCCTAAAATTCACCTTGATTTTTTCAATTGAAAAAGCCCTAGCATTTTATGCCTGCACATACTTGAAGCTGACCTAATCTCAATGGGACTGAGCAGTTCTAGTTTTAATCTGTCTGGGATCCAAAAAAGAGATTTAGCACTCAACCCAGTACCTGTGCCCAGAGAAGGCCTAAGAAGTCTCAACTGGCTTTTACAGACAAAATGCACACGTCTGCCATTTTCCTAAAACACAGCTGGTACATAATGTGGTGCTCATCTTCCCATATGAGTTCACCTAATGGCTACAGACAGGTAGGAAGCAGGCGATGAAACCATTATTTGCTTTGCCTAAGAAATGCAAAACTAACTCAGGCTGCAGGCTTTGTGGGGTAGGAATACCTTCTCTTGGGGCTGTTTTGACACCAGAGTCCTGGATGAGAGGAGTGAGAGTAACCAAAGCTCAGCAGGAACTCTGCATTGAAACAGAGGTGATGCTAGCCCTGGTTCCTCTTCAACCAATGTATTTTGGTATTTCAGCACCTTTTGACTAAAATACAAAAGCAGGGCTTACAGGAGGCCCAGAAGACAGGCTCTTCTCCCAAATCCTTTTCAGCCACCTAACCACCAGTTATGCCACCTATTTTGCTCGCTCTTTCTGTCAGTTACTGTGGAATCACTTTATATACTGAATTGCAAGTTCATCTTCTGAGTAGACAGTGCCCCTCCAACACCACTAAAAAATGCACATTACCTTAAATTCATATTGCAGATTATGGCATTCTAAGGAGGAGAAATAACTCCCAGAGGTGCATAAAGACATTAGACCCAGGTCTTTTACTTTGTGGGTGAAGAGACATGAAGAAACTGAGGCAGCCAGCCAACAACCTTTTTGTTGTATTGCAATATTTGAAGATGAGCAAGTTTACTTGCTCTTCAGGACAAAATACATAAAATTCAGGACAAAAGCTGCAAGTATATATGGTGGGGCTTAACACTGTGGATTCTAAGCAGATATACTTCTTTCCAGCCCTTTTAATAAGCTGGGATTGAAGAATGGCATTAAAACTCACCCTTACTGTTCCCTGTTGATTAGGCAGCTCTGCTTGGTGGTTTCAACTCTACAAGCAGACCTAAAGATCAAACACCTGCTTCTAGATTCATTCCAGTAATTCTGTAGCTAAAGATGTCGATCTGTAGCACTTTAGATGCCTATATTTTTGACTAGTGCCAAGCTCTGCACTGAAGCGCCTGCATTAAAGATCACAACAAAAACAAGTTTGTAAAAAAACAGATCTCAAAATCTTCCTAAATGCAGCTATTTTCTGAAATGGACAGTTTAATTTTGATCATTTTAACATTCTACTAAGATTCTGTTAAATCTCAAATTAACAAAATTATGCTGCAGCAAATTGCATTATACCCAGGTGCAATACCACCACTAAAATGTTCAGCACAGTAATTTAATTAAAGGTATACTTTGCTATTTTGAATCAAATACAGCATTTTCCCAACCTCCCGCTGTTAATCATTTCAAGCATATGCTTACGCGGCTGTTTTTGCCAACCCACTTTCAGCTGTCACCAGCCCCCACACGAAATAATAACAAACAACTAGTGCACCCACATAGAGGCAACTGAAAATGGGTCTAGAAGCTAAGAGAAAAATAAACCACACAGCCTTCCTAATTACTTGTCATACATCTCATACTTTGACCCAACATACAGGGTTGATTTTTCAGGTGCGTATTTTATTTTATTGTGAATCAAAACAAAGGTTTCAGATAAAGCACAGGAAAAATTCAGCAATGGTGTCTCTTACTTACAGGGTACATAAAATATATTCTGTGAAAGCTACTAACTCTGCACTTGAAGGCAACGCGGCTTAATTTAAACTAACCATTATTTTCAGATACATGTTAAGAAGCAGATTTTGCAAATATGCTATTTTTTCATTAGTTTGATATTGAAATTGAGAACCAAATACATTACAGCGAAACATACGTCGTTGCAGAGTGTGTAGTAGTAAACTGTTAGACAGAAAACAAAATCTCATTATTGGAAAAGAAACAGTCATACAGAAGATATTGTCAAAATACGTAAAATTAGCCCCAGTAAATATTAAATTACTCAAAACATCTTTGGAAAAATTGTGGATTCTGAGGTATGCATAATTTGGGTATTTTGGTGCTGCTATCTCCCATTTTTTATGTGAGACATCAAAAAAAAGATCTTGATTTAAGCTAATTGTAACTTTCTACAAAAGATTTCTTCAATTTTTAATTATATTTTTAACTGTAAAAAAACCACCCCACACTAATTCTTATAGTAAAATGACAAATGTCTATTAGATACTAGTGTAGAAAATCTTGCAAGAGTTATTCAAGGCACTGATCTTTTTTGCATGCTTGGCACACACAGAGGCCATTCAGGAAAGCTGTTCTGATAGGAAGACAGGAATAACAAAAACTAGACCTAAAGCTAGTATTTAGTGTATTAAATAGCATATATATCTTTCTCTAATGAAATAAATCCCATTACTTTTAAAAGTCATTTTGCTTTACAACACTATAGCCTTCACTAAGGTGTCTGCTAAATTAATCTGAAACACTAATTTAAAAAAATACTTTAAGGAATTGAGTAAGAACAAAAGTCAACCAAGTAGCATTTACCTCAATCAATACAGTCTGCCTGAATGTAAACCATTCTCAAATACTGTAACCTTCTGTAAAACAGAAATGACCAAATGCTCTGTTGATTTAATGCCACTGGTTCACACGGAGATATGCTGATCGGCAACTTGGTCAACGTAGATTTGGACCTTATCCAGCACTTGCTGGTCCACTTAAATGCCTGAACTATGGAACTATAAGGCTGCTGCCCCCCTACTACAGGAAGATATATACTGACTAAGAAATGCAAAGAACTAAATATTCTTTAATAAGAAACTTGGTGCATCTGTACTCCATCAGAAATACACAGCAATCAAGTTTTGGACTTTATGTGTGCATCTCAGGTAAAATTATGCAAAGATTCCTTCAATACTTTTTTTTGTAGGGCCTGTTTCTTTACAGCAACTAAATGCCAGTCAGCTGGGAAGGAAATCTGAAAGGAGATGACTTCAAGATATTAGGATTTTAGATAATTATTTTAACTACATCTTACTGACATACTGTTAAGAATCTCTAGCTGCTCTTTGAAAAAAAAGTAAGTTTTCTGTGGTTGACAGAACATGCCAGGCTCCATCAACTGGAAAAGAATGCCCATCTCCAATCACAAAACAAATCTGGATACCACATTGCTTGATGCAATGGATGGATTAGAAATCAGAGAAGCATAGAAACCTCTGTTCTTCTGGCAGTTTCATAATGCCCCAGCAGCAGAAGTGTTTACTGTTTGTTATTCAAGGCAGGTTAATATTCTGCCAGTTTTCAGTGGACTCCACTACCTGTGGACCTTCATGTGACAGAGCACAACAGACAAGAATATTAGTCTGGTGGATGAGATCAGAATACCACCATGAGATCTTAAGGCAGTGACTGGGACTCATACTACTTGGCTTTAGAAACCTAGCCAAAGCAGTGAGATAGCAGCCTCAAGATTAGAGACTCCTGCTGGGACCAGGAGAGAAACTTGCCTCTCCAGGTGACTGTTTATATCTTACATGGGCTACATCCATTGATCTGGATCTATTTAATCATTTAAAGCAAATATAAATAAAACTAAGATTGACCTAAAACTTAAACAACTTCTATTTTCATATAAAGAGTGAGGAAAGTTCTGCATTCAGCTGTACATCAGTACACCTGCTCTATATCAAGAATAAAAGCATCACAGGCACCACCAGAATTTGGCCCAGCTAATTTAACATTTCACTTCCCTGAAGGAAGAAGGTGATGGCCTACACTGATTGCTGAAGGGCAAACTGTCTGTAGTAGTATTGTATATTTCTATAATATTCTGTATCAAAGCAATAAATATTAGATATAATCTGTATATTAGATTTCATATTTATCTGATAGCTATTTAAATCTACATTGTCAAAAATATAAGCAGTGACCCACTCCTACATGGCAGCATATACTATATGTGTGAATGTGTTAAAACTATCACATGGGTCTATATTTACATAAGACACACTTGTTTATACAGTAGATTTTAATTTACATAAATTCTTACCATAGGATAACTGTGTAAAGCTTCGATAATATTTGTTTCTATGATTCTGCATAATTACATTTCAGCATGAGGATTCTATCATTTTGTCTCATTTTTACGTTTTTTAAGGATAGAAAACAGAGCCTGGTAGACTTCAAAATCTCTAAAACATTATATCAGTATAGCACAGGAACACTTACTTTCAAGTCCAGACAAAAAATAGTTTCATTGCTCCTAACTTTTTTCCTTTACATATATAAATCTCCTCTTTAAAGAAAGTGCACTCCTGAAAACAAGGGTAATCAAAATGTTTTAGCATTGTTGAAACGTAAAAGAGTGTTTCATTTGAGCATGATCATCAGAAAAAAACATCATACATGTTTTTAATTATTACAATTACTACAATCTAGGTGCACAAATGAAAAACGTACATTAAATAAGCTGAAACTGCTGCTGGTCTCAGTTTGCTAAAAAAAAATGGTTGATTGATTCCTATTGTTTTGCTTAATTTCTCAGGTATTAAAGATCTAATCAAAACATGTTCATTTTCATGGAGGTCAAAATGTCCAGTTATTTCCCTCTGTAAAAGGCAAGTAATTGTTAATTTTTTGTACCTCTAATTTCAGAAACTTTTAAAAATACAGAGGTAACAAAATATTTTAATAAAGATATTTAGAAAGTTTATAACAATCAGGTAACAATTTCTGAGTTCAGAGAACATTCAGATATTGTCTTCTGAACTACATATTGACTTTCCTTTGCTAAAGTTGACATATACTTCTCAGAAGAATATCTTCTGTAATATCTGTTAGCGTTCATTATGAGTATTTATTATGGATGCAGCTTTGAGCAATCTGGTCTAGTGGAAGGTGTTCCTGCCCATGGCAGGGGGTTGGAACTAGATGAGCTTTAAGGTCTCTTCCAACCCAAACCACTCTATGATTCTGTGATTACAGACAGAACATAACAGCTTGTCTTCCTTTTTTGCTAATGTTGGACTGGAAAGCCCTGGAAAATTGAAAAATATGCAATGCTTTATATAATAAGTAACATATAGATGTTACTGGCTGTTCTTGCCAGCACTGCTTTTCTACAGATGAACAGACCCAAGGGCTGACAGACTGCTTTCCCTTTTACCTATACCAGTTGTCATAATTGGACGACTATTAACAAGTCTCCTTCCTGCCCCAAACAGTCCAAGCATTTCTGAACAGTCATCCAGTAATTACTGCCTAAGGATTTTCTTCCTTACTGTGTAACCCAGGATCCCAAGAATGTGTGGTTGCATTGGATCACTTCTTAGAGTATCTAACATCAAGACTTCCAGCAAACGATTGATTTCTCTTCAACTTATGCCAGCACAGTTTCTGATGATTCAGGCAGTCTCCATCAGCTTCTTATGGAAATGTAATTGGTGCTTGGTATCTGTCTATGGCAAGAATCAACTCCCATTTCTCTTTCCTGTCTTTGTTTAAGCTAAAACTAAACAGGTAACAGCTTATACTTGGTCATGATTAGACAAAACTATTCTTTCTAGCTGTGTAAAAATGACCCCAAAAACTTACACTGTAATGGAGTCTTTGCAGATTGGAGTAGTTTTGACCAAAAAGCAGTGCTTTTGTAACTGAAACGCTACAGGAATGTTTCTAGAAAATGAACCTGACTTTTTCTGTGTCAGACATTATGCAGCGAAATACATTCATCATAAAATCAAACAAAGGGACAAATTCTAAATCCTACTTAGCAATAAATCTAAACTTACAACCTGTTAATCCTGTGTTTAAACTACTAAATAAAAAATAAACCATCTTTTATTTTCTAATACTATGTAGTAATACAAATATTACAGAGAAACGGTATTACATAATGTGTTTTCCTGAAATGTGTACTTTGTACAAAAGACCTCTTGAACAAAACCAAGTGACAAGCTGCAAAGCGTGCTTATGTGGAATGCTCAATAACACATAGTTAAAGCACAGCATCATGTTATAGTAAGTCTGAAGGAATGAGTAGCCACTTCAGTTTGCACCCCTAAAATTCAAGCCTAATAGTACTGGAAATATAAATCGATCAGGTTAAGTGCTTGAAAAAGTATCTTTTTAGCTGTGATCTGAACAAGAGTTTTTAACTGGTTGTCCCCATGCATATTTCTCATAATTAGAATGCAACTGTCTTATCATGGATAGAAAATATTGGACTAGAAAATACATACAGAAAAAGAATTAAAATAGCAAGTCAGTACAGAATCTTCCTATGATTTGATTCAAATGCTGATTTGAACTAAAGTTACCATATCTTTTTTCCATTGTTTCTCCACCTACTACAAAACAGTGTGGAGACAGTTATTACTAAGACATTAATTCTCCCAGAATACACTTAAATACCTTCCCTCCAAACCTTTTTTCTTATTATTTTTAAATCTACTATAAAAATAGTAGTGCATGGATAATCAATTAAAAATGCTTCAGATAAATGGTTCAGTTCCTTTTCAGATAAAGATGCAGAGGAATACTGATGAAAGATATGCTAGTTATGATGTTTTCTTTGTTAGCACTCCTTCACAACCCAAACCAATTCTTCACTCCACGTTCCTGTATTTGGTAAACAAATTGTACAGTACTCTCAGTGTAGACTTCAAGTCACAATTTACAATATCTAAAAAAAAGATAAGGGAAAAACGATTAGTAACTTCATTAGCTCAAAACATTTTTCAGAAAAAGTGCCTATCCTCTATTTCTTTCCCTTGCTCGGATCCATATCCATGAACATTAGAATCACAAGTACAGTAAGAAAGAGTAGAGACATAAACAAAGTAAAGCTTTTAAACTGGTAACTCAAAAAACATTATTTCAACCACTTTTTGTTAGGTATACAAACGGCTAATGGTGCTGGCATAGAAATGCAACCAGGGTTTAGATACCCATGCAACAAATTGTGCCTAGGTTTGCACATATTTACATTACTAGATCTTCAGTTAGTTGTGGCTGGAAAGTAAGTATTCTGAACAAATAATGAGACAGGAACCAATGGAACTCTCACATTAAGAATTGCAGAACTTGCATTCTGGGTTGCAATATCCTTTAGTAGGCCTAATTTCAGCAAGACAGCTAGAGGCAAGTTTAAATTTTCTGATGGATCTAAAGAAGCTAGGCATACAAGCAAGTCCCCTTTCTGAAAATGCTTTGGGTTAGTTGATGTACATGGCCTTAGAAACTCCATGTATAAAGGAGTTATATGAAACAAAAAGCTGATGAATACTTTGTTTCAAAGAGAAGTTCTTGAGAAAAATCAATGTTATTTCACGAGAAATCTATAAAACAAGCTGACAAGTACTACTGCAGCAGTCTATGCCAGTGCTTCAAGGAATATTTAGTCTCAAACAGGGGCTTAGAACTGCCCTCAGAAAGAACAGAATAGAGCAAAATAGAATTTGAATTAGAATTGTCCTATGACTTTTGACTCCACAGGAATTCAACCTCCTAATTTTGTTCTTGGAATTGGTCATGAAAGTGTAAAGCAGACGGTGTCCCATTATCTTCAAAACCTCCAAGCAGGCCTAGTAAATTGTGTATATAATCATCAGATGGCTCTACCATTATATTTAACTGCACTGTTACTTCTCACAGATTGTAAAGAATGAATCCAATCAAACCTGTGCATGCTGTCCCGAAGCACACAAACTTTGAAGGGCTAAAGATATCAACTACATGTCAAACTGACATCCACAGACAAAGGGTGAAAACACTCAAACCTAGATATTATGCTGAGCTTGTGTATGGTCATGAAACCACAGCCACATGGTTTTGTGGCTCTTAATTAAATTAGATCAAAACTGCTTGGTATAAAAGAAAATGCCAAAAGCTAGAGGAAGGGCATGCTGTTCCCACAGCATCAAGTTATACTCTGCAATACTGTTTGCATGTAACTCAGAAGTTTCCTTTTCAGGTCAGCAGCAAGCAGTGTAATACCTTCCTTTCCTAATACAGAATGTCAAATGTGTAAAGAGATAACTTTGATAGGTCTTTGCAACGTTACCAGAGGACTTCACTGCCACAACAGAATTCTGCAGAAAGCTCCAAACTAAAAAGCAGCACGCTCCCAGAGAAAGATGAGTTATTTTCATTGCTACATGTGTTTGACCTATACATATAACATTTTACTGATTGCAATTTTCAAAAAGAGAAACTTGAGTTTGACTTTGATGTACACATTTCAAGAAGTAATCTGAAAAAAGCTCAAACTGGAAATGTATTCATTATAGACTCAGTAGATTAATGTTCCGGCCCTTTTTAAAGTAAAGGTCACAGAATGCTTTTTAATACCTTTTCAATTATATTGCAAATAACCCAAATAAACTGTTGACCCTATAAAAATCATTGGGTTTCATACTCATTTATTTAACCACATTCTTTTTTCCACTAGATATGTTTTTCATATTCTAAAGCACTTTTCAGCATATTTTTTCCTCAAGAACCTCAAAGAAACAGTGTAGGAATTTAAAGAGTATTTAGTATACACATTTAGGGTAAGATCCTTTTCAATACGCTTTTGCTCACTGGAAATTTTAAGTACGGGCATTGTGCCCAGTGTAACAACACATAAAACAGATGTGTTTTTCCATTCACATTGGGCAGGAAGTTTCATATTAAGCATTTCAATAATTGCACAAGAAATGTCTTATATATGCTGAAATATCCTTATGGCTTGATTTATACTGGAAAAATTAGCTGTCCCCTAGAGCAATAAATACCTGAAAAATTAAATGCCATAAGAATTTTAAACCTCCATGGGGAGCAAGGGATCACAGATACTCTCTGTTTTACTTGGATCCCTAGATTTCACTATTTCCCTCTTCTTTGACTGTTTCAAACATAAAAGTTTGTGATATAGTCACCAGTGGTTTAGTTAAGAATGACTGTGGACAAGAATTCAAAAGGGAAAAAGAAGGGAAAAGACAGGCTGTGTAGGTGCAGATTAAATGCCCAGGCAGAATAGGCTCAATCCTGAGACGTATCTATTTTGTGTGCATGTACGTCTACTGCTGTTAGGATGTGGAAGCTGGGAGGAATGGAAAATAACCAGAATGGAGCAGAACTTGATTCAGTGATGTGTGCCTGAATCTCCAGAGTCAGTCATTACCATTAGAAGTAAAACTGAGTGTTCACTTCTATCAGCTCCTCAGAGAATGACAACCCAATATTACAGCAGGAAAAGACCGTGCATCATAGAACATGAATCTGCAATGGGTCTTGAAAGCACATTTATTTTTACTATTACAGTAGGTAACCAGCAGAAGCCTAGTTACCACCCCTGTTGGGAAGTGTGAAGCAGAAGCTACATGTCCAGCTCCTCCATGGTAAGAAGTGTCAACTTCTTAGGGGAGGAGCCATAGGAGCACCCTATAGCATGGTGAATCAAGAGCACTATATCTAGCCTGAAAGGCTGGATTTAAACCCTTCTTTATATGGGCAAAGAGGAGTGCAACCCTGGTCCTGCAAAAGTCAGCAGCAAAGACTTCATCTTCCCCCAAGGCACTTTACTTTCAGTTTCCAGCTCTAAATGTAATTTAAATATCCATTATTAGGTCCTGCATTCAAAGGCAGTTTATGTGAACATTTGAAATTCCTTATCCACAATACCTACTTATTTTGTGAAAAACCTGTAAATTACACTGGAATAGTTGAGGTTTGCTATGAAGATGCGGGATGGGGGAAAAGGGAGCAAATGGAGCAATTCGTATATGCTAGTTACACCATTCACAGCTGTATTCTTTTTCTTTCAGTGAATATCTGAGTATTACTGCATATGTTTGGTCATGCAGATATTACCCTGGCCATTCAAGAAAGGAAGCCTTGCAACATCTGAAAGTGTATCTAACAGTCATTTGAAATACAGTTACCTGAGCACTTCAAAATGTATCTTGACTTTCACTCTTTAATGTTTTAACCACTGTTTAGCTACACCATAATCCCATGAGATACATTGCAAATTTTTAAGAAGATATAAAAAAAAGTAGAATAGATACCTTCTGGTCTTGGCTTTGGTTTTTCCAGTCCACCATCTTGCATTAGCTCAAATGCGAAGGATACATTGAGGACCTAGTAATGCAATAAAGGTACTCATTATTGTGAACTACATATAATATAGGATAAATGGTCAAAACAAGATTTATTTAAAGCTGCAGACCCAGATGCTAAGAAAGAAAAAAATAGTCAGGGCTCTGTATATCAATGGCAGATCTGGTCTGTGGAATCCAGACAATCCATTGTTTTATTTTTTTCTGGGTAGTGGTGGTGGTTTCAGAAACATAAAAGTAATCGAAAAATAACATGTGGACTAATATTACCCATAGAAAAGTTAGTTACAAGTAAGAACAGCCCACCTCCTGCAAGTTTGAGAATTGGAACATGATGGCCCATGAAGCACTCTTCTCTTGAAATAGACAACTGAACTGCCTGGATAGCAACAGATATTTGGGTAATAGCTGGTCTTAAAATGATAGACTGTATGTATATGCTTTTATGCTTCCAAAAAAACATTAAACCTTTCAAATGTTAAATTCTTGGATTCTCAACACAAAAAACCCAGTTTAGTCATCAATTCATGCATATAATTTCTTCTACACTTACTGAAGACTAAGTCTGGTTCAATGCATCACAAAATGGCTGCCAAAATCAGTTCTTACTTGCTAGCCTCCCCATCATTAACATAATTTCCCCTTTTATTCCTGACAAGCATTAATATTGAGATCTTAAAAATGCTTGGAAATGGTTACCAGTACATTTCTATTACATCAAGCTTACGCAGAAAGGTCTGTGTCATCTTTGAAATATCTGACATGCTTATGTATTTGGTTTTTTTTAACAGAAAAATGAAATCTAATTACCTTTTGTTCAAAACTATCAGGAGTCAAGAAAAAGCTATGCAGAGGAACAAAATAGCCTTCTAGAAGACCCATTAGCAGGACTAAGTACACACCATCTGCAAACTGTAAAACAGACATTTCTCAGGACATTTACTGAAGAATAACTCATTGTTTTGCTTAATGAACAGGATATATATTGTCTAATGCAAAATACTAATACAAATATTTTAAAGTGCAACAAAAAGTTTTCATCTCACTTCTTTGATTCCTCTTATTTAGTTAGTACATTCTATTATGTGTTCTCCAAAACTGCCTAATGCTAAAACACACATGCCGAATAAAGTTCCTGGAAAGAGGGGTTGTCAGTGGCTTTGAGGTATGCCTTTGCTTTCTATTCAATTAGTTGCAGGGAATCAGAACAGCCACCTTTCAAGCTCTCAAACAGCATGCATTCCCTGAGCACAGAAAAGTAGAATGGAGGTGCAATCTCATGGCTGTGCTTAAATCCAGTGCATTGGAGGAAATAAAGGAACATCTTTGTCCATGTTATGTAAGTCTGTGTCAACCTAATTTTAAGTGTAATTACAGATGGAAGATAATGTAATTGCTATATGAGAATTTCTATCTAAAAAAATAGCAACAAGATTTTGATAAAGGCCTCTCACTCTTACCCCTGTGGCATCAGGTCTATCAATGTACTGAGAGATCCTCATGTCAAACTGAGTTATCTGAAGCAACCCATCACCTTCCCATAGTAGGTAATTTTCTCTCAACTGACAGAAATACAGTCTCTCATCTCAGGGAATACTGTTTCAGATAAATGCCTAAGGGGTTTCTAGCCACATCTGAATAAATAATTTTTTCCAAAGCAAATACTGCAATAAGCAGGCAAAGGGAACACATTTCTGAAAGGCCTTACATATTATTTCCATCTGAATCTTACCTTTGAAAAATCTCTACAAGACTGATAGCTATTTAAATAAACCAGAGATTCTTAATAAAATGCATCAAGACATAAAATAAAGCCTGTCCTGAAGTCACCTGGGGTTTTTTTGATACCATCCTTCCTGTGTGACCTTGTAATTTGCTTATGAAAACTGCTGCAGTTTTTCACATGGGGTGGTATTAATGCAGCAGGATTAAGCTTTTCTTTTAGTTATTTTCAGACAATTCAGCAGCTGAGAACAAGAAAGAAGACCATGTAGCACATTATTTCTGTGCTGCAATCAAGTCTGCAGCCCAACTCTACAGCTGCCTATACACTTGAGTAGCTTTACTCTCAAGAACGTGTCTTACTGAAAAGAGTCACTGTAATCCCATACGATTGCGTGCTTCTGTGAAGGTAGGCAGGAAACAACTGTTCAGCTTGACGCTGGATCAAATCAAGCGGACAGAGTTCTTTCCTACCAAAACAAGCACAGGTTTTGCTTACAGCACTTGGCAGCACCCAAGAGGTAGCATATGTTAATTAATTTTTATGCTAATGGAAGTGCAAAACAGTTTCAGAAAAATTAAGCTGCCCAATTGGTGATGGTCTTCATCACACAAACACATTTAGAAATGAAGGGTTTCCTGCTGAAATAACATCTTAGAGCTCAATCAATAATAACTCAATGAGATTTCTGGATAAGGTTCAGGGCATAGTGCGCAACAGTGCAACTATCCTTTCCTTTTATGAAAGGCTGTAAAATCCTACCTGAGTCTCCAGTTCAGTGACCTCCAAATTCAATTTATTCAGATGCTTGTTCACAAAGGTGATGAGAGTCTGAAATATGAAAACAATGTACTGAAAGCCTATTCAGTAGAGCAGCAGCTCAACATGTGCAGTATGAGCTCCACTCAAAAGAGAAATCCACATGAGCAGAGAGACTGCAACACAATCTTCAGGTTTTAAAATTGAAATAGAACATTAAAACCCCCTTTTTTTCTTCTGAGATTGAAGAACAGAAATAAAATGATCGTGATGCATATAATAAAAACACTGTTAAAACATACTAATTCTTAAAAAAAAACACCCTGTAGCAGACTATAAGGAAGTGGGTAATTGGACTCCACTCAAATCTGACAGCAGCCAAAATACTCTAGGTCAGACCACTGGCAGTTGTAAACTGGATACCTCTTTAGCATCAGTATACTCAATCTACGAGGAAGGTTCTACTTAACATACACTTTGTGAGAATTTCTTTTTGATGGGAACATTGATAACTACACGTTGTTCTGTATTCCAAAGTTAAGTTTATGCTACTAAATATGAATAAAAAGTAATATTATAGTAATGAATTTGTATATTCATTTAAGCATAAAGCTTAATTGCATTTAATGTATGCAAACTATGTCAATTATGTGCTATATACATACACTGTCAATTATGTATTATATACATACACACTCACTACATATGTAGAAACAGATCCACACAAACATGCACACATCATGTATTTTGAAAATTAAAACTTTCCAACCTTTTTCACTACATTGAGCTTGTCTGGAGCATGGTCAAATAAAGTGTCAAATGCATCTCTTTCTGAAAAACATTCAGAGATATTAATATCTTGAGAAGCAGTTGTTCAAATGCAGAATAAACGCTTATTAAGGCACATATTGTTTGAGACAACACAGTCAGGAAGAGGTTTCATTATAGCCTCTTTGTATTCCACGTACCATGTATTTTGCATACTGCTCTCTTGCTATAAGTTGCTAGGAACTTACTCTCTATTACTTGCAAAAAGCACGATTTTCAAGCAGGATCTGGATTACCCAATAACCCTGTTTCTTAGAGATTAAAAAATAATGGTATCTTAATGCATAAAACTTTAATTGGACAGAAACAAGGAGCTAAATAACCAAATCTTTTTTTTGCAGAAGGACCTGAGTTCACGTCTAGAGTTAGCACACCTACATAGGAAGATCTTCCCCATGGGCCACTGACTGCATTGTGGTCTGCTATGTTATAAACCACCTCAGGCAAGCCTCTTAATTACACAGCTGCAATACAATCCTTTGTACAGATGTTTTGGGGGCATTCTGATATGCAATTTAGGATATTATCAGCAGGACAGGCAACCTAGGGTAGCATGACTGGAGTGCTGCCATAGCTGCCTTCTGAAGAAAACAGAAAAAAAAATAAATATAAAAAGATACCAGAGCTTTTTCTGAGCAATTTCTGCTTTGACTATCACCTGAATGATAGTGACTGACTCTATGAAAAGCTACATTCATACTTCTCAATAGTATGAATGCTAGATCCAAAAGCATCTGTAGAAGGTACACTTTATACAGAGAGTGCTCTGGGATATCACTGGGAAAAGAAGGTCATGCATGTATCCTTCTAGATCAGCTCTAAGGCAGCTACTGAAATACTACAAAAAGCAAACGTTAAATTTTGGTGGGACGCCACCTGAGTTTCTCAGATATGTGTTTTCTCTTGGCCAGGCCTCTGGCTAGTCTCACTACTTGCAGTAAGACATACTAGATTAGATGCAGGAACCTGCATGGTGTTTAGGCCTGCCGGATAATGACTCAAAGTCATTAAAGCATAAGCAAGTAACGCATGCAAGAATGCCAACAGGTTCACCAGCTGGTTTATGATAAGACGTTATTTCATATTATGCTGTGAACTTATGACCATTATTACTATTACAGTAATGTTCTAGAGGTTAAACCACAAAGCACCTGTAAATTAACACGTGCTGAAAAGCAATGAAATGTGTTTTAAAGATGGTCAGACTGATTTTTATGCTTTTTTTTTTCTTTTGTTAACTCCCACAATAGCCCGTGGTGCATATATTCATATATTTGCCAGAGCAACTTGAAATCCTCTGCTTCCTTGCAGCTTGATCAAAGTGGCCATCCACTGCAGAACTACTGTTTACTTTGGCTGCCTTTAGGAAAAGAAAATAATCAAATGTACTTACCATGCCTTCCTGATAATGCCCTATGAAAAACAAAAAGAACAAAACAGTGTTATATGTAATAGACTTGCAGACACTGTGCTGCAAAAGACAACATCATACACGGCCAGATCTTCAGCTTGTTGAATGCTGGAGTAGATTAACAGAATTAAGAGAATCTTTATCAAGTCACTCCAACTGAGATCCTGGATTAGTCTGCAGTCCATCAGTTTAATGTCTCCTGGCTTCACTAAAGTCTCACGGGAACCCAGATCTCAGATATCCTACTATTGAACCAAATCAACACATCTTGCTTGAGTGAAGGTGGCTTTTTCATACTGATTTTTTGAAAACTTTTCCATTTGCTTTTAAGATGCATTTACCAAACCAACTACAATTTCAGCCAAAACAATGCTTGAACTTGGTTCTTTACACTGCAGGATTTTCCTGCAGTTGATTCCTTATATAACTAGTACACATAAGGAAATCCATAAAGATTAAAAATAAGTCAATAGTCTGGTTTGTCTTCATTCTATTAAAAACTAGGATATTCTATTATTGCTTTCTGTTGATTTGGAATAGCTTTTCTATTAAACATTGTTTGGTCAGATGACATATACAGGGCTTAATACCATCGTTTTAAATCTCCAAAACACCTAAACATAGTGGTATCACATTCCTTTTTGAAATAAACTAGTTCTCTATCAAATAAATACCAACATAAAAGAATGAGGCATATCCTTCTTGTTTGTTTGAAGGAGTTTTGAATAATAAGAAATAGAATAAATACAGAAATAAATTAATAGAAGATAAATATAAAGTAGAGCTTTTCTGCATCTTCCCTTTGTCTCCTCTTTTACCATGGTTTCCTGCTTTTAGTTTCCTGGCTTTGTATTCCCTCACCCTTTTGTATTTTTAGATGCATGTTTGCAGCTCCTGAAATGGCTAAAATAGAGCCACTGGCTGATGCATCATCTTCCCTGGAACCCCAATACCAAAATCTAAATATCAGCAAATGTTTGAATTTCTGAGACACATCTGTGTTCAATTACTGAACTGTTGGCAAAAGTGGTGTTGACATACTCAGTGTTACCAGTTATTTCCTCTTGGATTTGTCGAGACTGGAGGATTCCTTCTCGTTTCTGGAAAAAATAAAAAAGTGACATTTTTCACTGTAAAGTTTAATGCTTAGGGTACAGTAAAAAAAATATTTGTGATCCACAAACATAATTAGATGAGAAGCCTGCAAAATAAGAAGTTTTTAAAAACAAACTTACATCAATAGATTATTTCACTTTGCAAGTATTCGGAAACCTCTTTCGTAAATTAACAAGAAACTTGAAAACTCCACCTGTGGAAGGAAGTATTTCTTTTCCTTTCTCCATTGTTCTTAATTCACTTTTATTCTAAAGGCCCCAATTCAGCAAGACATTTGAAACACCTAAAAACATATGTAAGTATTTTAATAGAGGTATGTCTAGGTGAGTTGAATTAAACCTTGTGTTTCAATGAACAGATTGGCAGATGGTGCCCATGCTTCCCTTTCACAAAATTCTTGCTCCCAGACTATCAGTTCTTTCTGCTCTGTTCATACATTTTCTTTCTTGCCTCAGTGGTTTTCTTGTATGACTTTTGCCCACAAAAAGAGCTCTTTTTCTTGTGATGGAAAACCAAAAAGGAGGATAATCCATTCACAGTGTGCTCCAGACCCTAGTCCTTTTTGGTGTTAATACATGCATTGACTCCAATGCTCCTCAGATTCAAGAAGCACTTCATACACGGTGGTGAGTGGCTTGTGTCTAGAAGCTGTACACAAAATGGCAGAAGCCAAGTCAAATGGTTGCTATTTGAGTCAGTTGGAAAATGAAGGAGTTTAAAAATTTTGACATTGTTTCCAGTATGCTGATCATAGTCATCTGTTGTCAGTGTAAATACTGCACATATGTTTTGCCTCTCTTTGTGTTCTCTCTGTTAATTCTATTCACTGGAATTAGTAAGATTTTGCAATACAGAAAGAAGAGTTGGGCAAATGCTGACAACTTCATATAAAGTCTAGACATTAAGCAATTATTCACGGTTCTTCACTCCTTGTCATACAAGGAAAAGAGAAAAATAAATTTATGCTGGTCCCAAACTTGCCTTCTACACGGAAAAGAGAAAAGGGAGGCTAACATTCTCCAAAAGTCTTTCATGGCATGTGAACTGGAGCTGCTGCTCTTCCCTGCCTTTGAGAAGATAGCACACCCCTACCTGAAGCATGTATGATGGTGCTGAGGATTTGGTCAGGCTTGAGTTTAGTATTTCTATGCTGCATTACTAAAATATATGAGGATCAAACATAAGTTTCTGCAATAAAGCCACACGTGGCACTCTCTGGGTCACCCCAGACCGGCACTTGGAATAGTCTGAATTGTCGTTTTAGCTAGATGACATTTTCAGGTTTGTTTGTTTTTTTTTAAATCCTATTATTATCTTGCATATAGTTAAAAATGTATTCACGGAGGACATCTGAACATTAAAAAGAGAGGGTGAAGTCCAGTGTGTTATATACTGAAAGAGGAGGCACAGAACAGCTGCTGAGACATCTGTTGTCACGTATCTTAAAAGTCTGAAGAAAAACTACATCATTTAGGGCTATCTTCATTTATAGCTTGCAGAGACAGCAGTAAGTACTTGCACCTAAAGTTACCATCTAGTCCATGGTAGCTCAAGTTAAAATTCCACTCTAGGATTTTTGTTTATTTTCCCTTTGCTGCAGGGTGAAAGGAAACTTTTATTTCCTTCTGATGATGACTCCGACATGCCAACAATGCCTTCTGAAGCAAAAGCCCTATCACTCGTCTCCTAGAGGAGTTGAGCAACATAGCAATGGCAACTGTATACCTCAGTGCCCAGTCCACTTATATGGGAGAAGAAAAAGGCTTCTTTTACTTCACTTTCCCTCTGCAAGCATGCAAAAATTGCCTAAAACATAGCCTAATACCAATATAAAACATCTCCCTTTTTGATAAAACTGCAATTAATATAACAGGAATTCCACATCTTAGTCCTGTTGTTGACAAATAAAAAAATAAACCAAAACAAAAAAAAACAAAACCAAACCAAGAATCCAAAACAAAACAACAACAACAACAAAACCCACCACACAACCAAAAGATCCCAAGACACCAAGCCCTGTTTTTGTGTCTGCCATCTGATCACTAACAGTAATGGAATTTCCACACTACCCAAATATGACATGCATCTGCTGGACACTTACTTGACCACCACATGTCAAGAGGGACTTCCTTATGCTTTTGATCTGTAAAAAGACTGGTGAAAAAATCCCAATGGCAAAACAAAGAACGGACCTTAGAAACACTAGTCTAAGGACCATCTCTGGGAAGGCTGCTTCCCATTCATCTTTTACAATTTAAAAATTCTCTGTCTCAAAATTTACCCTAACACCGATGTCACCTGTTGTGAAGTTTGATTTATATCAAGACAGAGAATGACATGATATTCCTAAAAATACAAAGAATTGACACTGAGGATGGAAAGACTCTCCAGCAATGTTCCTTAAAAACAACAGCGGCTATAACTGAAATAACAAATAATAAAAAAGAACACCTACTATTTGAAAGAAATGAGGCATGAACTGAGATTCACCATTAGAAAGAAAAGCTGGACACACATTCCAGTGACTTCAGGGACAGGCTTGGCATTTTCTTTCCTCCCAGCTGAAAGACTCCACTAATGGCTGTGAAAGATCTTCCTTGTCACTTACCATTTTAAATTGGTGACTAACCCTAAAAAAAATACATCTGAAATTTGGGTAATAGATCTGGAAATGGAAAGAGTTTCTTCTTCATCTCTGTTTGCATCAGCTAGATGTCAGCAGTTTTATGTAACTGAGGGCCAACTGCTTACTTAAACACAGAGTCTCACTCTGAAAACCTTCCAACTGTCTGAATCACAGAATAGTAAGGTTTGGAAGCGACCTTACGATCACCTAGTTTCAACCCCTCTGAATGGGTTTTGCCTATGTACTGTGGCTATCCATTTCATCTGGAGGATCACGTTTCCTAATCGCCCCACCAAAATGAAATGCAGAACTGTTCTGGAGCTTAAAGAACAAATACATTTGTCACAGGTTCAAAAAAAAGACTTCTTGGGAAACTGGAGGCAATGCTGCTCGGAAGCATTTCAGACCTTCTCAGGCAGTGGGACCAATGATCTCAGATTACATCTGTGATATATATACTTTCTTCTAATCTCATTAATTTTCTATCTTTGCTTATCAGTAGTTTATGCACCCAAGAACTGCTGTACCAGTGTTCAGAATATGCTGAAGCCATTCTGGCTGCTCTGCCAATGCAGTCTTATACTCTCTCTGACTTACATCTCTTGCACACAAACAACCTGTCATTTAACAAGTTGTGGATGGCATAAATAAATAATTTTTAAAAAGAGGCAAAATGATGGCTCTCCACAAAAGTTCTCACTTGTTTCAGTAAACAAACAAAGCCCAGGCTTTGGTCAAAGTTATTCACTCTACTAGTATAAAAGGAAAAGAAAATCATATAACAAAATAGCTATAAAAGATCCATCTATCTTTTTTTTTCCCCATTCAGTTTATAACCCATATTTCATATTATCTCATTGCTAACAGCTTTTGTATAAAAAAGCCCAAAGGAAAGAAGCTTTCCTAAGACCTGTTGGGCATGAGCACGTTTTTAGTTTCAGAGGTATCTGTTTCTACTCCAATTAACTACACCCAGTCAACAGGCAACCCACACATTTTATGTGTTTCTAAACCTAAGAAAATATGAAATGAATCAGGGTAGTCTTCCTCAAAGAGTTCATAGAAGTACTTGGGGTTTTTATTCCTCTCTTTATACTATTCCCTTTATCAAACTATATAGAGTAGAAATTAAAACCAGCTACCAACATAATCTGTTAAGCTTCCCTAGGCATGACCTGACTTTACAGAATGTATGAGGGTTTAGAACATAAGGTGTGCAAGTCTGAGCACTAAATTAGGCTTTAGGATCTAAATTAGGCTGCTTGTTGATTAAAACTTTCACTGAGTTCAGAGGGCACGTGATGAATTACACAGAACCCATCCCACAGGACATGAAAGACATTTAAAACAAAAAACCATCCACCATAAAATAAGAATTGCCTCAAACACGATTACAGTAAGAATACTGCCCTTCCCCCCCACCCTTCCCTGTTTACAGGAATCAGCATAGCCTTGCGGTTCCACTGACAGCTTTCACCAAGGACAGGGGCTATAGGACGAAACCTTCTGCAACTGCTTTCTCTCACCAGCACCTTAGCTACAGCTGCATAGCTCAGACGCAAAGCAGAGAGCCAGATTCTCCCACTACTTATTGTTTTTAACTCAGTTTATCTGTAGTGACTTCAGTGGATTTGCTGTTGAACTACATTAGCCTATTAAACAAAAGGACAATTACGTCCATTGATTTCAAGGGGAATTTTGCCTGGACATATAGAGTGACAGCAAAATGCAAGACTGGTTCTTTATTTTAGAATGGTTTTCTTTTTCTAGTGGTTTTTTTTAACCCAAAGATGCTCTGCCACTGTACTCCAGATTTCTTAAGCTGGTTTTGGTAGAACACTGAAATAAACCAGTGTAATTAATGTATTTATAATAACCAAAGGAAAGTGCTTGAAAATTATGTTCCTCTGAAGCCTTAAACAAATAAGTGCAGATCTGCTAGGGTTCTCTTTCATTGTCTGTAGAGAAACCCATGAAGCAGAATTTGGGAGTCAATGAGTCATTATCAGGCATCAGTGACACATCTACCAGAGACTTTCCTTCAGATTCCCCCTCAAATTACAGAACTGTCTGATTTGAATGCTGGAAAAAGGTTACTTTCTCAGATCTGTCCCACAGATTTTCAGTCACACAGAACTTGAGCAATAGCTCTTTGCATCAGATACTTCAGGGTAACATCAGTTAAAACACATAAAGTTGCAGTGTGAAAAATAAAGGCATAGCTAGTAGGACAGAAAGAAAAACAAATTAAATGGGAAGAGGCCAAATAAGATAGAGCAAGCACAAGTCCAAGTGAAAGAAAAGTTCTAACAGAATATGAAGAGTTTGGATGGATGAGACTCTAATAAGGAGTCTGAGTGACACAAAAGATTTAGTTGATAGGGGTTTTTTGCATGCTTATGAGAAAGCCAACATTGTAATCAGACTAAATGAGCATGCACAAGGCTGAAAAAGGGTATTTAGTCACCTAACATGAATCTGAATGTAATACACAGTGAAAATTCATCATTCAGTGCCAAAATTGATTTGAATCTCTACACAAGTGAGAAGACCGTCAAAAATGGGAAAAATAATAATTACAGAGATCATACTGAGTGATAAACACATTCTGACAATAACAATGCTTCATATACTTTTAATGTCAGAGTCTGGCCACTTCACAATCTAAATAAGATATTCTGAGCCACAGCTCAATCTGGGAAAGCACTTCTGCCTTTTTCTGGTTGAAGCATTGTCCAGCAGGGAAGATGCTTTCTTGTCAGCCAAACAGACACACACATGCCTGCCCAAACAGAAACTCTGTATGTATTTTTGAAGAAACCCCTGTCAATTTCACAACACTACCAACAGCTGTTCAACACCTCTCTTACCTGCACAACAACCACCTGAATGGACACATGATCTGGGAGTCGGATTGGTGCTCGAAAATACTGTGATAATGCAACCAGAAGATGAAGTATTGCTACGAGGCTTTTAGCATGAACAGCTGAAATAGATATTAAAAGCACAAGTTACAAACTGCAAAGTAACTAGGGCATATATTTTTACCATTTAGGATGTAGAGATTATGGGACTCTTGTCCTCCTGCCACCTGGATCCTTGGGGCACTTTTAATGCACCCCACCTTTACCGGTCCCCTCTTGCTCAACAGGTCATGCAAATGCACCCCAGTCAGTAATAAGTGTCAGCACCAAAGCATTACTTTTTGCAGTATGTCTGGATGCTACAGGCTCGTCTAGATGGAAATCTAAAGCTAATCCAGAAACCAGATTTCATGTACAGCAGTTTAAGTGCTGTCTCTGCATTCTCCTTGCCTTTTCTTTATTCCCTTTATTTCAATAAGGATTTATGGACTATCAGAAAGATATTTTTGTACTCATAACGTGCACTTACTCATTTTTAAGTGTCACAATGTCTGCAGGATGATAAATGAGCCTATTTTGGCAGAAGCCTTAAGCAATAACTTACTAAACTCAATGACTCAAACATTCTTCATGAAGTTGTTACAGTTCTTGTTATTGAAGCTTTTTCACAGCAGGTTTCATATGCGTAGTTAACACTAACACAACTTACAAGATATCAAAAGCCATATGCAGGAAATCCGTAAGTATCTGTAAGGGAATCATTCCTAATTTTTATAATTGCCTTTCTTCTTTTTTTAATTTGTTTCTGCATTCATAGTCTTTTCCCAGAGTAGTATTCCTGAATGATCTTTGACAGCTACAATACAGCGCACTTAGGTTTCGTGTATTTGAGCTAACCAACAACTACTACCTTACTACACTGTAAAGCAGGATCAGATTAACTGAAACACCCTTCTTCATTATCTTCCAATGCAAGTCCCAACTATGCCACATGGAGATACCCATTCATCTAAAATGTGGTATCACTGTCAAATTTTGCTGGCATGCCAGTGGTCAAGGATGAGGAGCTTTAGTAGAACACTAGAAAGATGTCTGTCTGCATAAAACCAATGTGTGCTACAGCTGGCTCCAGCTGCTGCTATCTCTTACTTTAGCTCTAAAACACATGCAAAATATTAAATTAAAACTAGGAAGTTAAATTGTCAAGCCACTCCAAACACCCTGCCTCCCGCTGCATGACAAAGAATGGAAAAAACCTGGGGGGAAGTTGAAGAGAGATGGGGAAAGAAAATTCAGCGGGACATGAAGGGTAAAGTCAGAGATGCCTAACATTCACTCTTCCTCCCTTGAGCTATTTCTCTCCCTCTCACTAATTTGTAGGAAATTGAACAGGATACAACACAGACCGGATGTGGTAGACAGGTATAGGAGACTGGGAAACTGCTATATACTGGTAAAGGTATTCACTGGTGTGAAATCGTCCTGGATACCAAACTTAAAACAGATTAAGAGGTCTAATTTTCTAGAATTGATGATAACCTGCTTTCTGCAACACATGCAGTAAAACTGTCCTGTGTTGGGCCACAGAGGGCATTTCTATTAGATGTAACTACATTCATTTTTAATACAATAAAACAGGAAGGATATGGTCCTAATCCTAATGAGAGTTCTGTAATAAAAACTGGTGGTTCAGATTTAGCCTTAACCAGAAATATTATTCACATTTATGTTGCAAATGTTACACAAATAAGTCCTAGGACCTAACTCTCCTTCTGCCTATCTAATACATTTATGCAGGTACCTCCCTATTTCAACAGTTTAATAACAGAAAACTTAATCTGGTATGAATATGGACTTAACAGCAGAAATACCATACTTTCACAGACTCTGAAAAGACACTTTATTTAAATTGGAGGTTGATGACCAGTAAGGAGGGTAGAGTGTAACACAGCTTGAAGTGCCCTGCAGGGCAGCTCCTACAATAAATACCAGGTTTCAGCCTTCCCTTATCATTGGATATTTTGTAATTCCAGATAGCAGCTATAAACACTCAGCTGTCAACAAACAAGAACAGCATACAAAACATGCAACTTACAGTCAACATTCCATTTAATGCTTCTTGGAGGCAGTTTAAGGGTTTCGTTGATCTTTTCAAGTACTGTCTGTAGCTTCTGTTTCTGAGCGATTTCAGACTGAGTAACTTCAGCAACGTTCAGCTTCTCACTTTCAAGTTTTTCTGAAGTGATAATAGATATAAAAACAGAAAAAAACCCTGAAGAACACAAAGACATCCTATGCATCCAGGTGTACATTCACAAGATACTGGACTTCCTAGTTTTAAAATTATCTGGTTTTCCTTCCATAGCCACTTCCCTCCCTCCCTACCTCTAAGCTCCTATCCTAAAGATACAGTTCACATTTTCCCTTTATTTACCCATTGCCAAGGGGAAGGCTAGGTATTAATTAAAACCACACTACAGACTAACAAGTATTTTCTTCAATTCCCTTTTGGGAACACCAGACTGTGAAGTAAGGCCCATTACTTGTATTGCTACTGGATAAAGGACATTCTGCATACAAGCGGCTTGTACAGCACACCATCAAACCTACGAAAGATACACCAACTTCAAGAAGATTTGTTTCATTGGTCTCACTCTTCTGGCTTCTCCCTCAGACTCAGGAGATTAAAAAAAGTATACTCAGCCTGTTTGTGATAAAAGTGAAGAGACACCACATTCAGAGACGTGGAGGATGCATGCAAGAAATGTGAACAAGTATTTCTGGAGGTATGAAAACAACTAAAACCTCTGACAGTTTCTTTCTATAAAACCACAGCTCTTTTCTGCACTCAAAATTTGCAGAAGATTAAAAATACTTCATGAATCAATTTGTTACTAATTAGTACAAACTGCTAGGTATATACGTACATGGCTTAGTGTTTGCCATTAAATAACAAGCAAAGATAATTTAGCAGTAAATGCTTCCTGATCACAACAGAAACAAAATGCCTGGTCACCTATCAATTTAGTTCTATGAAGGAATATCTTAACAGGTATCTTACTCAGTAAGAGCCAATCTTGTTCTCACCGAAGCCAAGTGAGTATCTTCACAAAGAGCTTGAGCTACCAGCTTGTGAATCCTACCTGAGATCCTATCTCCATGGGTTTCTTGTGCCTCCGGAAAAATCAATCTGTGCATAGTCTCACAAAACCAAAGTGTTCAGTTAGCACAGATCTGACCCATAAGGTATTAATGGTAATGGAAAAGATTCCACTGAAATCAGTAAGTGCTGGATCAGTACAAGCATATTTAGAGTCAGGCTGCGTCTGATATGTGTTTTTTGGGGTTTGACTGAAGTCACTGGAGGTCTGCCCATGAGAATCAGATTGCTCAGCCTGGGGCATATCCAGTCCATCACAATATATTCAATAGCTTAACCATTCATAGAAGTCTGTGTACTCTTTATTAGAAGCGTTCACATGATGTTTCAAGATTCATTTGAGATACTGAGAAGAAATTTACTGGAGACTTTATGAGCTGTAATAACTAAGAAAATGGCTTCTAAGCCAACAGTTCAAAAAGCACATGCCAGCTCTGCATTAGCAGTTTCTCTTCTCTATCTGTTTCTCAGCTGAAGCTCAGTTTGCAGTCCACTGGGTACCATTACCTCGGTAATGTTAAAAGCCAGACATCAAATCAGAAAGAAATTCCAACTTTCCAAAGGAACTTCGCAATGTGAATAAGCTACAGTATGGAACCAGCAGAGATTAAAAACATCCACCGTTGTACTGGAAATAGCCTTGCCTTGAAACTTACTTTCCACTTGTAACATGGTTAAGTTTGCACAGCACATATGCAGATAATAAATTTAATTGGAGTGAATACTATTGCCAAGACAAGAACCCTCCCTCTCTAGCACCCCAGGTAGGCTTTATGCTCTTCTCATCAACTACAGAGCACCACACATTGCATTGTAGCTATAAGGACTGTGCATACAGCCTATTGCTCAAGGGTCTCATAATACAATGCTATTTTTATATCACTTAGTGGCATAAATTTAAGATGAAACCAAGGCTCCTATGTAGGAACAAGTGATCCACTTACTGACAGAATACCCCAACAGCATGCACATAGATTTTTTTCTTACCAAATAATTTCTGCAATACTTGTCCATCATACAGGTCTTCAGCCAAGTCTTTCACAATAATCCTCTCTCCTACCAACACATCATTAATCCAGTCAATTAATACCTATATGGGAAACACAGATTTGGCAGTATTACACACTATTCATTTGCAATTTAAAACACATGTCATTTTTTTACAATGATGAAAATATCTAGCAGAAAGAATACCAAAGCTGTAATGGCTCAAAATACAATCAAGTCTGAAATACCATCACAAGAAAATAGGAAGGACTTAGGAAGGACTCTGTCAAGGTAGCTGTGTCAATGCACCACAATATCTAGACAAACACCAACTTGATGCAGGGCCTTCTGGAGTGAAATCTGTCCCTCGCTTTCACTAGTATTTTAACATTTTATTGTGAATCCAAAGGTGTTGAAGTCAGTTGTAATTGAGCTTCCTGATAAAGTTCTGACCCAAGAATCACAAAGACTACAAGGGAGGTCAGGGTGATTGTAGGATTGGGGGTGGGATGGGACTAAAAACTCAGGATTTTAATTCAAATCCTTAAGTATCCATGTGCCATATCTAGAGAAAGATACTTCAGCAAATGACCTTCCCATTTCACTGGGATGCATGTACAACCTGGTTTCATTTAATTAATATCTAAACAATACTTTGAAGTGTTCAAACAAAAGAGTCAGGGATAGCATTAAAAATAGCTTAACTTTCTTGAAAGTGTTTACACGCTTTTCGTTACCTTCATTAGTTCTTGTAATTTTGGGTCATTTCTTGAATTTGGATCAACCATTGTTCGGACTTCATTTTCCTCTGGAGGGTTTTAAAGAAAGATATTAGAAACTATTACAGGCATTAAACTTTATTTTACATCAAGCTTTTATGTTGAGATGTAAAATTGTTGTGAATTACCTAGCATAGTGTCCTCAGGGTCTAGTTCAAATGGAATTGGACTGAGAGGTAAGTTAATGGCATTTATTCCTTCTTCCTGTAATTCAGATACTAGGAAATAAAAGAGAAGAGCTTGGTCAAATTTCAATTCAATTTTCCATACTATTTCACTCTTGCTAAAAGTAGCATTAATTGTCTTAATTTCTTTATAAGAACATGACTCTGTTAGATAAGCCATTAGGTATAATTAAAGTAATAAAATATAGCTAAAAAAAAAAGGAGGCCCACCCAACAAACCTTTACTTGTATATTTTTCATGGATAATGGTACTCGAATCAACACAACTTCCTCTTTTCCAGGATAAGGCCCATTGTCCTCAAATTTTGAAAGGCTCACTTGCATTTTAATAGTCTTGACATTTTAACACTAATGAATCATCTTAGCTGAGGGAAATGATTATTGCTTTCAGTTGTGTCACCCTTGCTCCGGAAATACTTCAAGTTTAGCTACTTGAGAGGAGCTGGGTCTGGATATATATTCACACAGGAGCTGCCAGACTGATAGAACTGTTAGCAGCACGGCTATCTCCGTTGCTCAGGTCAGAGACCAGCTGCAGCAGACTGCAGGATGCTTCTGGCCTGTGTTCTTGGCCTTTCTTTAGCAGATACCACAGTACCAAGACACAGATGTAAAATGATGAACCCTCAAAAGTACTGCCTTAGTGTGGAGTCCAGACATAGGTTAAGATAGAACTTGGACACGGGAATGGCGAAGTAATCCAAGATCCCACAGCCTGGAGATGCCCACAGTTGTCAGGAAATACGGACTCGTATTTCCTACTCAGCAAAAGTCACCTAATGCTGCAAAAACCACTATTCTTGTAATACATGCTCTGAGAACAGAGGCACAGATTGACCCAGAGAAGTGTTGAAACAGTCCTGCTACTAGTTCTGTACTACTGCACAGGTTCTACACTTTTACAGTTCATCCTTCTGCTCACCTCATGGGTTGCAAAGACAAACTTCTTGCTTCACTGGCCAAACATGCCTCTGTGTAAGAGAAGAGCATAAATACAAACAAGCCAATACACTAATCCTACCACTATGGAAGAACACAGAGTACTGTGCAGGGAGGGTTGCCACTTGGGTGATCAGACAAGCCGGTACCCTGATTTGTGACCCAGAAATCAATACAAATTGACTTATCAAACCAGGGAAGAGTTTTGCCACCTTATGTGGAAAGCCTTTTAGAAGACAACTCGAGACATGGTTTTACTTTTTTCTTTAGCAATTTTCTTAGGCTTTGGAACAGGCTGCCCAGGGCAGTGGTGGAATCCCCATCCCCGAAGAATTCAAAAAACCTGTACACGAGGCCCTTACTGGCATGATTTACTGGTGAACTTGGCAGTGCTTGGGAATGGTTGGACCTGATGATCTTGAAGGACTTTTCCAACTTTGCTGATTCTATGTGTGACAAGTAACTAATGCTGTTCTGACCACTCGTTTTCCAGTGTACAGACGTTTAATAGAACTGGTTATTAACACAACTGTTCCAGTTCAGACTTAAATAACTATTCTACATGTGTCCTAAAGATTCATGTAGCTGTATGCACCTTCTGACATGAACTGAAATATATGATTTATGTGCAGATGCAGATTCGACATCTAACATTTTAGATTTACTAGCTGAAGCTTTGCTCAGTTTATTCTGAAAATTACAGATGCAGTTCAGGTTTGGAGAAAACAGCAAAGGAGAAAGTGACAGTAGAGATCTTGTGTTTTTTTCCTGGCCCCTTGACTGTCTCCTAAGTTAGCTTTTGAAAGAGTTTTACCTCTCTGCCTTAATTCCCTGTGTGCAGTAAGTACAGCTAAGTTTCACATGAACACTGTAATAATTAGTCAGTTGATGTGATAACAGTACTTAAAACTTTCCAAATATTTTCTATGCTTTGTGAAATATTTTGTGCTCTGCCAAATGAAATGCCTGTGCACATTTCAAGAGCAGCCTCTAGGAAAGCTCACTATGTGAGATTCATAGCAATAATGGCTGTTAGAATGCTTACTTTTAATTGTACAAAAGTAAATTTGAGAAATCCACTACCTTCAGTACGGAAACACTAACTTCACACATTCACCCTGCTTTTTTATCTGCAAAATACAAATATTGAGCAGCTCTAAAGAGTCATAAAATAATGCTGACAATAATAGTTCCCTCGATTGTTGTACATCCTCTAAAACTGATGGCTAAGAGCAACAGACCAAATTAATCCCTTACGTAAATCTATTGAGTTCTGAGGAGTTATAGCAAGGATGAATTTGGTCTAACATGTACAATCTCAGGAACTGTTTACACTTAAGGGCATTTTTTTTAACTGACAGCACTCCTTAGAGAAAATCACTGTTGGTTTTATTAACCATGGTTATGAGGATAAAAACATCAGTGGACAGAAAACTTTTATGTGCAGGTCTTTCCGTTCTGAAATATTTAGTTCATGGAGGACTTCCGCACAAAGATTCCTGGGCAGAAAATGTTATTTGGGTTCTTTTTCCACATCAATCCCAAGAGGGAGCATAGCAAGAAATCTATTCAAGCCAACTGGCTTCACTGAGCAGTCCTATACCAAAGGGATGGACGCTTTGCTTAAGGAAGCAGTCACCTCATTTTCCTAGTAAAGAACAGTGTGGAAAGCTTTTGGCTTCCCTCCCCCAGGTGTGACCCACTGGCACAACTCACTGACACTTCTCCAGGGAGACTGAGTGCACCTTTCAAGGCTGAATGTTCTGTAAGGCATTCTTTACTAGGCCCACTAAACCTCCCCAGATTTGTCCTCCAGTCTGTACAACTATTACTTTTAATAACATGACCTTCAACATACTATCAGAGTTTCTGATAATAAAACAAACTAAAACCTGCCATATCTTGCAAGGAAAGGGTACATAAAATACAAATAAAATAATAATAAATATGCACAATAAACTAATACATAGTTCTCTTCTAGAATGCACTGCAAGTGTTATGTTCATTGTACAGCAGGGGCTAACTGCTGCTTTGCTGTACACAGGTATGCACAAGCGTGGTCTTATTCCCACCAGGCAGGTCACCCAACTCATACATCTACCACAAATGCCTGAGCCATATGCAGAAGCTACCCAACACATCTCCAGATGATCCAAAGATCCCAGATGGATCCAGTTTGCCAGAGGACAGCTCCTCCACAGCCACTGCTTTCTGCAGTGCACAACCATGCCCAAGGTTGGTATTAGTTCTGTAATAAAGACTCCTGCTCTCCTGTCCCCTACAAGCAGAAAACATGATGGAGAAACCCTAAGCCTGATAGCATCTTTCCCTTTCTTTCCTGATAATGAAGAGAAAACATTTAGCTACAGATTAGCAATACTACTAAAAGAAGCAGGTAAGAACATATGCATTATAACAAGTTGTACGTAAATGAAGAGGAAATGTATTATGTAGTATAGCCTCACTTTCTAAGAATTTCCATCAAAAATGTTCCATGACAAACCACTATTACACACTTAGGTGTTTATATAGAGGAACCACAAAAATGTGACTGAGAGTCACAGAGTTTGCATACCACAGTTTCAGCAGAGGAATCAGCTGCTTTTCATTAATTTGTTTTAATTAATTTTCATAAAAATAACTTCAGCAATTTAGCATTTTAATAAAAAAAAGGCACATGTTTGTGACAGTTTTTGCAGCAGCCGAAACTAAAATACAATCATACAATTTCTTGAAATACTTTGAGGGAGGACTTGGCGTTATCAGTAAGACCTCCACTCTGAGTCTTAAAATTATAAAGATCCAGGAAGGAAGAAGGGGACACAGCTGCAGCTCATTTATACAGCAGCTGCCAGAAGGTAGACCAGTGCACAGGGACCCGATACCTCTGAAGGACAGTATCCACATAGTTGTCTGCTTGATATCGAGCATGTTTGGCCCCTGGATGACCCCAGCAATTAAGAGTTAAGAGCACCTTTCTGTTCCCACCCTCTGCTGCAGCCCAGATACAGCCCTGTGAGTCAACTACCATGGGACGACTTGTGCTTATATTGGCAAGATTAGGGACTTCATCCTTTGGATGCAAGAGGAAAACCCAATCCTTTGTGGGTTTTTTATAGTCACCATGCTGAGTGGAAGTGGGGTTTGAACATATGTTTGAAGCAATACCCTTAAAAGCAACATGGACCAGACAAATCTTCATGGATTTGCAAAGTGAAAGTCCCAGTTTTAACTCTGGATAACGAATGGTCACTTCTGCTTAAGACTTCTGATTCAAGTCCACATGCCAAACTTGTTACGATGTAATCAAGTGCAACTCCACTGCTATCAACTGTCAACAGACTTCCTCCTATCATGCCAACACCAAATTTGGCCCCAGAGCTGCGGAGCCCACAAGCTTGTATCAACAGCAACTACAGCAGCTATTTTAAGCTGGATAGAGTTCTTACTGCTTTAGATGCTGTAGGATTACAAGGTCATAAACCTATGCTATCAAATCCACACGGGTGCTCTGAGCCAGACTTTGCCCTTTGATGTGTGCATCAAACTGCCATGGAAACCACTGGATGCCAAGCACACCTGAAAGTGGAGTACTGCCCATACGGTTTAAATTGGCTTAATTCCTCTAGAACATGCAGCCTGTTGCTCCACAATGTATTTAGCAGACAGTTTCATCCGGGTTTTTTACTTGTTTATTTTCTGTGCTGAAGGCTTTTTGCTGCCCTGCTTAGTATTCATGGCTTAATGTTATTCTGATTTGAATAAAACACATCTAATTATTTAACTGAGCTTAGAGATGCCGTATCACCCAACACATTCTCTGTGGTTTAGATGTATTTTGGCATATCTATCTGAAGAATCATAAAAAAAAATACAGCAAGATGCAGTGTTAAATGGTCTCTTTTGAGTGCTACAGCCATGTCTTTCCATATAATTGATTCCTTACAAAACTAGAATTACTCAAGCACTACAACACTAACAGATCGATTCTGAAAGTCTGTGATTAACTAGAACCAAACCCTAATACTGGAAGACCACAATGACACAATGCTTCTAACCTCAATCTTTCAAAACCAGAAGATTCAAACATATGC